CCCCCCCCCTATCAATTTCTTTTCTTTTTGTCAAATAACAAACAAGAGATCAGGTTTTAGGTGAGACAGTGTAAATACACGGGATAGTTATTTTTTGTTTATAAAATTAGGATAGTTACTTTTGTCCAATCTTTTTTTATCCTGCTTTGAAAATCTTTTAGGTGAACCCTATGGCCTTGGTGGTGGGAAAACTTGGGAAATCCAACAGGACTTCTGGAAGGTCAGAAGGATGAATTCAAGTTTTCTATGGTTGACATAGAAATACTGTACCATTCAAAATGAACAGATTGGTTGGGGTTTGTTATTTGAAGACTATAAACGATTTGGATTGGAGACCAAGAGAAGAGAGAACTCAATGTTACCTCTTCTGTTACTTTGGTTTAATAAATCATAATAAGGAAGAGATTGAGGAGGATGTCACCCATAGAATCAGTGGAGAATGGGCAAAATGAAGGGTTGCATTTAAAGTCTTACGTGATAGGTAAATGCCACATACACTTAAAGGAAAATTTATTAAACAGTTGTTAGACTAGCAATATTGTATGGAGCAAACTGTTGAGTAGTCAAGAAACACCATGTCCACAAGATGAATGTGACAGAAATACAAATGTTGAGATTGATAAGCTGAAGACCTAGAAAGGAGTCAAGGACCAAGGCAGGTGGGTCCCCCCTTACAAATGTGACAGAAATACCATTTACTGATTTCTTGTTGATTTACTAAAAGCATTTGGGAATGGTGTACTTCTTTGTTTGTGTGCAGGTGGGCCCCCCCTTTGAATTTGCAGAGTTTATTCAGGTTCATGCCTAGTCGGCCAACAAAAAGGGCCAAGGCTATGTGGAGATGTATGAGGGTTGCAGTATGCTGGACTGTTTGGGAGGAGAGGAACTCACGGATATTCTCAGAAAATAGAGAACCTTGGAAGTAATATTGGAGGTAATCCTTATTAGGGTGATACATTGGTTGAAGACTTTGGCCTTGCTTGCAGACTTCTTAGTAGATGAGATGGTAAAAAACTGGAAGGAAATTGCAGAATTAGCCTCAGCTAAGAAGGCATCACTCTCTTGCTGGAGTCCCCCATGTAATGGCTTTCTTAAACTAAATTTTGATGGCAACAGTATGGGTAATCCAGATCCATCTAGAATAGGGGGAGCAATAAGAGATGAACATGAAAATCTGTTAGCTATGTTTTCAGGACCAATTGGGGAAGGAGACTCCTTGAGGGTTGAGATTCTTGCAGCCCTTGAAGGGGTTCGAAGAGCCAAGGATATGCAAATTAGAAAGCTGATTATTGAAGGAGATTCTGAAGTGGTGGTGAACTGGTTAAAAGAAGATAACTCAAGGATATGGAAGTATAGCAATGAAAAACGAAAATTTAAGTGGTTGGCTAAGGATGTTGAAATTCAGTACAAATGGGTTAAGAAAAGTGCAAACTCACTGGCAGATGGTTTAGCTAGGCAAGGGGTTAATAGAATCTCTTTGTTTTGGGCATTATTGTAATTGTATTTTCTGCTCACAGATTGTTATAGGGAGCTAAGATTGTTTAGCCCCCTTGCTTTGTAATTCTTCTTAATTTTAATGAATACATTTCACAGTTATTGATCAAAAAAAAAAAAAAGAGGAGTCAAGGACAGAATCAAATAAAGTCATTTAAAGGAACCTAGGTGTAGCTCTAACAGGTGGTAAAATGAGAGAAAGTAGACTAAGATAGTTTGATCGCATGCATAGAAGACCATCTACAACACCTGTAAGAAATGGTCTATTACAAGTTGAAGGGGCTAGAAGAGCTAGGGGCAGACCGAAAAGGACCTCGGTTGAGGAAGTAACTACTAGGAAATGATTTAAGTGCTCATAATTTAAGAATGGATATGGCACTGAATAGAATGAAATAGCAAAATAGGATTCATGTAGCTGACCCCATATAGTTGGGACTTGGGACAAAGCTTAGATGATGATGATGATGATGATGACAATGACAATGACAATGAGATGCTTTCCTAAAGAAAGGGAGGCTTTGTGGCATGGTTTTCAAACTGGATCGGATCGGATGGTTGGACCTGAAAAACCGGGAACCGGTCCTGACCGGTTCCGTTTTTCCCCAAAACCATTGAGTTTGGTCAGAAAACCGCTGAACCGGCTGGTTAACCGTTTGAACGGTTTTGACTGTTTTTCATTTTTTTTTTGTCAGAACAGGCCGACCATTTGACCCGATAACTGGATTCCTGACCGGTTCGGTTGCTGGGTCGGTTTTAAAAACCATGCTTTGTGGCATTTGGTCATCAAGAGAATTTATGGGCTGCATCCAAATGGGTGGTTTGGGATTGGCTAGAAATGCCAATGCAAAAATCCCATGGAAAACAATTTTGACATTACTTCCTACTTTCCAGCAACACATAAGATATGATGCAATATCTGGACAGCAGGTGAAATTTTGGAAGGATACTTGGTGGGGAGCTCTCCTTTTTGCCAATCCTTCCCAAGAATTCAACTTATCCAATGCCAAGAACAAACCCGTTGCTGATTTGATTACCTTTTGATAGGATGGGTCTGGTTTGGAATTTGGGTTTGAGGTGATCTCTGAGAGACAATGAAACGAATGAGCTGATTCCCTTGCTTAACACACTTCAGGATATTTCCTTTGGGTTTGGATGAGAGGGTGTGGACTCTGACTGCCAATGACAACTTTACTTGCGCTTCCTTTTTCAAAACCTTACTCCCTCAAACGATAAGCCAACCTCCCTGCTAAAGAGCTGTGGTCTAGCCCAATTCTCCCTAAAGTGAAGATTTTTGTTTGGAGGCAGCCAAGCAAATCATAAACATTTGTGAAAGACTCCAAAGGAAGTAGGAAAACTGGTCAATTTCCTTCCAATAAAAACAATCCAGTCAATTTCTCCTCATGTGTGTGTCCTCTGCGGCTCTGCCTAAAGAATGGGGGAAAATATTAACTACCTCTTTTTGCATTACTCCTATGCTTCATGGGTGTGGCAGCACTTGCTTTCTTTGGTTGGAAGAGATTGGGTAGCATCTCCTGATGTGGCAGATTTGTTTAAATCAGAAATGATGAATGGTTCCACTTGAAGGCAAAGATTCATAGTATTATGCACGTGAGTCATGGAGCGGTCTTGTGGGGTCTGTGGTGTGAAAGAAATGCTAGGATATTTGAAGAAAAACACAACTGGATTGAGGATTTGATTGAACTTATAACATTAAGAGGCGGGCATTGAGCCATCATTTTTTAAAGAATTTTTTGGTGTATCTCAATGATTTATTGAGAGGATGGAATATTGTAGCTGGTTTTCAAATTAGTAATCCCTGAAGGCTGATGATTTGGTCTCCACCAACAGTGGGGGGGGGGGGGGGGGTTATAAATTGAATTTGACAGGTGCTGCTTTGGTAATATGGGGATGTCTGGAGTGGGGGTTGTAGTTAGGGTTAGGGACCATCAAGACAATATTATCATCGTTTTTTTTTTTGGGGTTCAATTGGAGTTGGAAACTCCCAAAGGGCAGAATTGATGGCTTTAATTCAAGGTTTAAAACTTTTGATGATGCAGGGCTGGTGGAACGTGGAAGTGGAGGGTGATTGCCAAACAGTTGTAGGTTGGATGAAATCCCAAAATCAGTCTCCAAGGCAGTTCTGGGGGTGTTTGCCTGAAGGATGATAGATGGCGGTGCTATATAAGAGGTTGAGAATGGGAGGGTAGGATGGTGAGGAAGGTTAAAGTTGTACAGCGACAGGGCTTACACAAGTGTCTGCGGGAAACACCTGTTCTGGGAACTCAGCATTCCCACTATAATGCCTTACCTCTCCAGTTTTATCCATGCACTGGTTACTTATGGAAAGTCTTTGGAGGTCTCTCATCACTAGGTACCCAACTCCATGTACTTACACTAGGTTCTAGTTCAAACATCCCATTCAACTGGATTCCTAGGAGTGCCAATACATTAGTGGATTCTTGGGCAAGAGCTGGGGTTGGGAGAGATTCTCTTGAATGGGGTTGCCCTGGACCAGGCTGTAAATTGTAATAGTTTTTACCTATCTCATTACTTTTTAGGCTTCTGTTGATGGAAGCTGTTTATACTCTTTGGCCTTCTGCCCCTTTGTTTAGTGCATCTAGGTTTTGTTTCTGTTTAATGAATTAAATTCAATTATTTATAAAAAAAGGTGCTTCCCTGTTGCACAAGTGGTTCTAGCAATATTGCTTTTGGCCAGAGAACCTTTGGAAAACATTGAAAACATGGTGTCAGAAACATGCCCAGGTGAGCTAAGGACTTTCTATGAATATTCTGTGGACAGGTATGGAGAAGGTGTTGACACAATTCATTTAAAAGGATTGTCTGCATTCCGGTTGATGGGTATCAAATTCTGGAGAGATCACTGAGGTGATATAGTCTATCTAATGGAGCTGCTCCTGTTCCTTTTTCTTTTTTTTCTTGTGAATTGTGATGTGGCTGACGATAACACTAAGTAGAAAGGGTGATGCATAAATTTTCATTAAATTTCAACGTTGGGAGATCAATGCAGTGATTTCTTAGTACTGAAAATTGAGTTCATTCACCATCTCAAAGGTCGACAAGATTCAAGAGTTTGTTTATAGAACAATTCAGATTCTCATTTAAATCCTTCCTCCAACGAGTTGTACTGAAGGGCTGACAGATTAAGTCCTTCCTCCTACAGGTTCCACAATAGATAGATTTCATGCTGTGGACAGTAACTCTGGTAGAGGCGCAATTGCAGATATCATGATGCGCCCCATGCCTCTACACGCAACTCTGGAAGATGCGCAATCACATGATCCAAGCTCATGAACAAACTTAACTAGCTTGGCTAATTGATAAAATAACATTACTTGTACTGATAAAAAAAATAACATTACTTGTAATTAACCCCTAAAGGGACCATTACTTGGTAAAATGATAAAATCTAGGTCTGTCAAGCGTAAAAATGCATGTTAGTCTTGGAGCAGTTACATGGTACAAAAAATTG